CCCCTGTGCTGCGGCCTCCCGCCCTGCCTTCCCCTGTGCTGCGGCCTCCCGCCCTGCCTTGCCCTGTGCTGCGGCCTGCCTTCCCCTGTGCTTCAGCCTCCCGCCCTGCCTTCCCCTGTGCTGCGGCCTCCCGCCCTGCCTTGCCCTGTGCTGCGGCCTGCCTTCCCCTGTGCTTCAGCCTCCCGCCCTGCCTTCCCCTGTGCTGCGGCCTCCCGCCCTGCCTTGCCCTGTGCTGCGGCCTGCCTTCCCCTGTGCTTCAGCCTCCCGCCCTGCCTTCCCCTAAAGTTGGTGAGTATTCTAATGTATTCCACTCCAGTTTGTCTAGGTTTTTCAATTTTTTATTTACATTTTTAATTTATTTTTTTTTGGGGGGGGGTCAGTGAATAAAAGTATTTGGGCAGGTCATCATCCCAGAAAAATCTGGAGTCGGATTGGTCTATATAAATTATTTTCTGACAACATGATGGACCTGGCCTCTAGGAAGAAGTCGGAGAGTGAGGTACTTATATAATTTTTTTTATTGGCTGTTAATGTAGTTCGTACACCTGTTATGTGGTTGTAACTTTTAAATATTTGTATCTTTGCAGGTGATCAATACCTGTTCTTACTGGGCAGGCAGACTGGGGCATTGATTCTTATCTCATGATCTCGGTATGGCAGGGGACTGTAAAAGGTCGGAAGAAGGCAAGTATCATTGCATAAACCAAACAAGCTGGATACAGAGTTTGTTAAAGTTGGGTCTTTCACAGGTGCCTTTGATGACCTACAATGTGGTGGCAGCGGCTGTTTGTCACAACCACCACTGGACGCTTATTGTGAGTACTAAATAAGTTATTATCAAATGTTGTACCAGATCTGTCTGACTCGGTTTGTACTGGACAGGTTATTTACCCCATGGAAAAGAGGATAGTTAATGTTGACCCCTTTGGTGCAACTGAAGCACAAATCGAAAGGTACCAGGAGATGACCAGGTATGTCATTGAGAGAGGTGACAAATGTACAACAATCACAATACATGCTTATCTGACTGTTTGAATGTCTTACTGCAGAGCTTTTGTACGCAAACAATGCCTGGTCATAGGGAGGTGCGAACGCTCCACAGTGCCTCACCCAAGGCAGCAGGATGGTACATCGTGTGGCATTCTCGTGTGCGCGGTAAGCAGACATTGTACAATGTGGCCCAGCGAGCCCAAAAACTAATGACTGCAAATCCTCAGATTGCAGAGTTTATATTAAGGGGTCGAGAAGCGGCCTTCCCTGTCCAGGCGGAGGGTGTGTCAAAACTGAGGCTGGACTGGCAACGACTCTGCTGGCAAAGACAGGTGAACTACTGCAGCCACTGTGTGCTTATAATGTATCCATATTATCCTTGCCCTAATACTTATCTTTGCAGATGACCTTTCGGGATCGTGTCGGGCATGTGGGGAGTTCAGCTTACAGATGACTGGGTAAGTCGTTGTGTTGAACATGACTGCTTATTTTGAAGCCTCAGGTACCTTTTAGCTAATGTAATGCTTCACCTAAACCCATAATTTGTTTCCTAACCGCAGTCTAATTATCTTTATTGTGTCTTCAGATTGAATCCAATAGCTGTTCTGGGTGGAATCACTGCGCCTGTGTAGGATATCCATCCACAGTGGGAGAGTATCACTGCCAGGCCTGTGAGGAATAATCCATCAGCAAATTTGCAAAGGTCTGTTTTGTCTTTTATTTTTTAAGGTGGAGAGGTTGACAGCCAGTGTAAGATGATGACTTAATGCAATTTTTGAATTTCCCTATAGTTTTCTTTCCGGAACTCCATCTCCTCTGCTCTTCACCTGAGCCTGGCACACCTGGAGGAGAACACCCACGTTTTGATGCTGATTCTGGACTTCAGCTCAGCTTTCAAAACCATCATTCCACAGCGTCTGATAGGATAACTGGAAAAGCTGGGCTTCACTACGACCCTCTGCAATTGACTGCTAGACTTCCTCACAGACTGCCCTCAGTCAGTCCGGGTCGGACAGAACACCTGCGATGTCATCAGTCTAACCACAG